TGTGAAGGAAATACAGAATGTCAACTCTTTGAAGAGGGACCTCAGTGTATTTGCAGAGCAGGTTTTGAACGGCCAAATTGTACAGGTACGTACTTTGAAAAAAAGCAATATGCTTATCATAATAATCACACATAACGGTAGATTAGTCAGGGTTGACGCAATGTACAAAGGGATTATTAAATGACCTTTTGCATCTGTCCCGTCTTCYGAAATGCACTTGCTGAGTTCAKCAAATCATTCAATTTYAATTTATCATGAATTTATTTGCTGTTCAGATATTGATGAGTGCACTACTGGTCGTCATATGTGTCATGTTAATGCTCTGTGCACCAATAGTCCTGGTAGTTATGTTTGTAGATGCCGTCGGGGTTTTGTAGGAGATGGCAGATCATGTTCTGGTAAGATGTCTTGGATGAAATTTAACAAACATTGCAAAGTTTTTGAGTAGACTTAAACGGGTCTCATAATCATGTATCAAGAAGTTTTAATATGATCTCAAAACAAGTTAATAAGGATTTTTGCTAAAAATACAAAAATAAATGATTTAATCATCTACTCCATCCTTTTGTCTGTTCATCTTTTGAGTCAAAGTTTCTTTGTTGATGGATAATTCCAAATTAACAATTTTCCTTGACAAGTGTTTAGTGGTCATGCTAGTAACCCTTACATATTAATTTACATGTTCTTTCCTTCAAAGATGTTACCACTACAGCCACAACTGAAACAGTGATTACCACTGCGGCACCARCAAAACAAGAGGTTTCTTCTGAACCACCAACCAAAAAAGAGGCTACCACAGCAGCACCAACTGAAACAGAGCCTGGAACTGCAGACACAACCAAAACATTGGTTACCACTGCACAACCATTCAAAACAGAGGTCACCACTGCAGAACCATCCAAAACAGAGGTCACCACTACACAACCAACCAAAGTAGATGTTACCACTGCAGAACCAACAAAAGTAGATGTTACCACAGCACAACCAACCAAAGTAGATGTTACCACTGCACAACCAACCAAAGTAGATGTTACCACTGCACAAACAACCAAAGTAGATGTTACCACTGCACAACCAACAAAAGTAGATATTACCACAGCACAACCAACTAAAGTAGATGTTACCACTGCAGAACCAACCAAAGTAGATGTTACCACTGCAGAAGCAACCAAAGTAGATGTTACCACTGCA